AGGACTTCGTTGGCCGTCGAGCTGGCACCATCCTTGGTAGAGCTGGCTTCATTGTCGTCGGCGGCCAAACACAGAACCGTCCATTGGGGAGCCCAGCCGAACAACCCTCGGAGAATGGTGCGGCGGTATCGGGGATGCCCGGCAGAGTCGGAGACAAAAACCAGACGGCCATTTTCGGTGCTGTCGTGGATATCAATCCATGATTCGACATGATCCTGGGAGAAGTTGAAGATGGCGTGATCCTTGTACCCAATGAGCTCTTGGGCTACTGAGCTGGTCAAGCCGGAGGCGACCTCATGGCGATGCTTGAAAAGACTGATACGACTCTTCCCACGCCCGTTGTCGAGAGTTCCAGTAGACAATGTTCCCAGAAGAGTAGATTTGCCAGACGTTGTTGGCCCCGTGAGCGTTATCCTAAGCTGGTCGGTCGTAGAACGACCCCTGCTTGGTAACACAACAGGCTCGTTGGCTCTAGGAGACTGCTTGACCTCCCGATGGTCACTCTCGGGGATTTCTGCAAGAGAATGCTTGGCTGAGAAGTCCGGAGTCACCAATGCCTCAACCACCCAGAGCCTCGCTTGTCGTCCAATCTGGGCCGGCTGCGATGCTACATTGTCCACCAATTCGGATGTTTCCAGCCACTCGCATTCTCCCACGATGACATGACGAAGAATTTCGACTCTACAGCCCAGCGTGGCCGCCATCACCCTAAGAGTTGTGATACTCTCATCCATCTCGTCCTTTGTCAATCCCACCAGGGTTCCGTCGTCAGCCACTCCAATCTCGTACAGAGCACCGCGAGATTCTTCCAGTCCCGGGAGTGGTTTCTGCGGCGTCAACGCCTGACTCAAGTCGGCCGTGTCATCAGGCAATTTGGGAATAATCAAGTCTTTGGGGTTCAAGGCATGGTAGGCACAGGACTGCTGCAATCTCCACAGAAGCTGCGTCGTCAGTTGCTGCAGGCGCACCTGGCGACTCTGGCTCGATGCAGATAGAGCCGCAGGCATAACCTTGGCAGGTCGCGTCGCGGAAGCAGAAGTCTTGGGGTGCTGGGAAGGCGGGTTGCCAATAGTGCTCATTGAAGTGTAAGTCCGTCTCGGTCGGAGGAGCAGGTGAAGCTTGTACTCAGTTGGTCCCTCCTGAGGCTCTGCTTCCAGTTTGGTGACTCCATAGTCAGAGAGGTGGCCAGGCTGAGGTTCCCCATTTTCCGAGGGAGGTTGAGACTTTGGTGTCCTTCCCAGCTCTTCCGGAGCCAGCCACGGGGAGGAGACCCGTTGAGGGTCAGTTTCGAAGGTGAATATTGATCCGGAGGCCATGATTGATACTCAGGCGGTGGTAGGTTCAGTGGCGGATTCTATATCCGTAATGTCGATAATGGACAAGGCCAATATGGGTATAAGCGTGTTTTGTGATGAGCTATTGCGGGAACAAAGGTGGAATGACGAGTTGCTATACGCGGGATCATCTTGAAAGCTGAGGTAAAGGTTGCTTGAGGCGGTGATTCAAGGTCAGGCGTCGTTGACGACGAGTGATGGCTGGATAGAGCTCAACTAGAAGTCTAGTTGGAGGCCATTGCGAATTCTTGGGTGAGTTCAGGTCGATAGGTGATGCTGTAGAAGCGGGAGGTGGCAACCGTTAAAGGCGCATATGAGGCGTGGCGAGTTGTTCGGTTGAGGACGTTGAAGTTCTCGAAAGACGGTATGACTCGGAGACAGTGAGGTCTCAGCCAAGGTGTGACGCAGCGAACGTGGGTGGACAGCTAGGTCGGATCAAAGGGTCCTTCCTGTCTGGTGGCTTGACCTTGCCTGCGCTGCGGAGAAAGTGCGGGTAACCTACTAGCGCATTCTGCCCGCGGTGAATCACTCCCCGGAACCCACAGCCGGAGCTGGTTCCCAGTCTGGCAGGAAGGACCAGCGCCGCTGATGCTGATACTCGCTGTTAACAATGATGATGTACAGGAAAAAATTGCACTTGAACCTACTGAAGGCTTCTGTTGTCTGTAACTTACCAAGTGAATGTCTACCGATGGGCAGTAGGGACAGGCAGAGGCGTGGTGTCAAGTCATGACATCTTAAAAGCGGCGGTACCAATTGCCGTATTGCAGGTGAGGTCTGTCTCCCTCACTGTCACTGTCTGACTTGTTGCTGCAGACTTTGGCCCCACTTGGGTACCAAGGCTCCTGGCAGCAGGCTAACCTACCCGCGACCGCCTGCCTGCTCCTTGCTATTTCTGCAAGCACCAGGTGGGAGATGTACCTCGGTACTTCTTCACCCCAACACGCACCCAGGGTCTTTCTGTCGCTGGGCTATTTGGCTGCCCCTCCTGGAACGCTGGAACGCTGGATCGAACATGGTGTTGAAGAAGTGATGGAGCACTCGACGGAACTCATTAGTTTCGAAGATCACCCAGGTCCGCTGATCTCCCTTCTCCTTTTTGACGAGATCAGATGCGGACCTCTTTCTGAAATTGAGCGGGTTACTCTCTGCTGAGTATGATGCAGTCGACGAAGAGGCTGGCATGAGTATTTTTATGCTTTCGTGGACGCAAAACAAACGCGCTCAGCTTACTCATGCTTAAGACCGTCTGTATTACTGCATATGCGTCCTGACTGAGGACCTTGGTTGCGGATAAGACAGGCCCGGAAGACAAAGCTGAGCTGAAAATGTCAAGACAATGGACGAGGAACACGAACGTCCTTGACGCTAGACCCGAGGCTGAGCCAAGCATGCAGCGCCGTCATAGGCTCATGGCAGCGGCCATTCTTTACAGCCCACTCTGCGCCATGGAAACATTCCAATCGCCGGCTGCCTACCGACGGGAACTGACTGACAGCGGCCACTTTTAGAGCGTGAACCGTCTCTTTCTCGAAATCGCGAATCGCTCCCCGCCAGATGCAGATGCAGCGCTGAACCCAGCCCAGTCGCATGTCGAGCACTTGTTCCAGACGACCTGCACAATTAGGCCGCGCTGTTCGCTGACTGCCCCTAACCCCTCCGGCCCAGCCCAATCTGTTGCCCATCTCAGTCAGGTCCTAAACAGCCTGGCCTGACGAATGTTTTATGGCTTAGACCCTGAGGGGCGCATCCGCTCGTCTTCGAAACACACCCAAGACGGTCCCGATTTTGCCACATAAAGCTGCAGTAAGCCTGCAGTCGGTAGGCGGTACTTGCTCCCAATCCTAGGTACCTGCACCTGCAACCCCCCTGCCACCCGCCCGCTCGCCGTCTCCAGTAATTGTCCTGTCCATCCTCTGAGGGTTACCTCTGCTACACCGTGTCCGTTCTTCAAATCTTCTCCTGATCTCCTTTCTTACCTTTCTAGATTAACTTTCTGCAGAGCACGTTGCCTCGTGTTTTGCTTCCTTCCAGAATACCTCGACGATCGTATTTCGGCCGTTGCCCAGCTTCAACACCCCACCCATCGACGATCTAGCATACAATTCCCAATTCCGCCTCAGTTATCATGAAGAAGTTCGGCTTTGGTAAGAAGAGCGGCGGCGACGACGGCGACGACGCCAGTCGCTCTGCTCTCTTCGGCAGCAAGAAGAACAAGTCCCCCGCACCCGGTTCCGACAACCCATATGCTCAAGCACCCGCTGGCAACGACCCCTACGCCCAAGATAACAACAAGTATGCCAACATGACGCCCTACCAGGCAGCACGAGCAGGAAACACTGCTCCTGGCGGTGTGCCCGGTGGCCTCCCCAGCGGACCCCGCGCTGGAGGCGGCTACGGCGCTCCTCCCCAGCCTGCGGGAGGCTACGCAAACGAAAAGTACGGCGCTGCTGGTGGCTACGGAGGCAACCGCTACGACAACGCCAACCAGAACGCCTACGGTGGCGCTGCTGGCGGGGCTCGTGGTCCTGGTGGTTACGGAGGTCTGGGCAGAACCAACAGCAACGATACCGACGCTCAGCGTGATGAACTTTTCGGAGGAGCTCAGGATCGCTACCAGCAGAAGCAGCAGCAACCTGGAGGATACGGACAGTCTGGAGGATATGGTGATGACGGCGCATCTGGCGCCGGCGGAGGTTACGGTGGTTATGGAGAGAGCCGCGAGCTAACGGCTGAGGAGCAAGAGGCGGAAGAGTACCGTGCTACCAAGAACCAGATCACCGAAACCAGACAAGAGTCTGTGAACACCGTAAACCGAGCCCTGCAAGCGGCTTTGCAGGCTGAAGAAACTGGTCGCTCGACACTCGCGAGACTTGGAGCTCAGGGAGAACGCCTCCACAACACGGAACGAAACCTGGATCTGGCCGCGAATCACAATAAGGTTGCGGAGGACCGAGCCAAGGAGCTCAAGACTCTCAACCGCAGTATGTTTGCTGTGCATGTCAGCAACCCCTTTACATCCAAGTCTCGCGCGGCGGCGCGCGACCAAGCGGTTCTTGACCGTCACCGCCAAGAACGCGATACTCGTGAGCAGACCAGAAACGCCGCTTTCCAGTCCAACCAGCGCATGGAGGAAGCGTTCAAGGAGGTTTCGCTTTCCGGCCGTCCACAAGGAAATACCAGGTCAAGCGCAGCTGAACGATCCAAATATGTCCTCGATGATAGTGATGATGAGGGCAACGATTTGGCTCGTCGCCAAGAAGATGAGATTGACGATGGCCTGGGACAGCTAGAGGGTGCCATGGGTCGTCTTAACGGCTTGGCCAGAGCCCAGCTGAGGGAGGTTGAGACACAGAACACTCTGATCAGCAAGATCAGCGAGAAGGCACGGGCATTTCGCTCTTTCATACTGTACTATGATTATGTGGTTAACACGTTTTACAGAGCGATGCTGTGGACGACGCAACCAGAATGAACAGGGAACGCCTGAACCGCATCAAGTAAAATAGAGCATCACGACAAGAGCCGGCACAAAACTCGGGGGGGCTTGATGTGCTCGCAAAAGATAAGCCCACTAGCAGTACTTCAATCAACAGTGGAAGTAAGAGCTTCCTCTATAGACTGGATGTGTTCTTGGTATACACAGGTAGTGTGGCATCGACGGAATTAGAAGTCTTCCAACTTGTACACCTCGTATGCGGGAACCTCGTATGGGTGCGCGCTGTATTCATTTTCAGTATTCAATGCATATGACTCGCCAAACATGTGGACAAAGATACCTCTTCAGAGCAGCTACCGCGGCTTTAGTGACATCCCGTCCAACGCACACAATCTCGACCTTGTACTCGAGGACCTGCTCAAGCTCGTCGACGGTGCCGGTATGAGGATCCGCTCCAGCAGCCGCCACGGGCATGAACTGGCCTTGGCCCGTAATCTGGAAGGCAACCTGGACATATTTGCCCTCGTCGTAGACGCCGGCGCCTGTCTTGAAGACGGCTTCCTTGGTTGCGACCAAGTGAGAAGCTACAAGTTGGTAATAACATCAGTTAACGCTGCCCTTTACAAGTACATTTGATTTCAATACGCACCAGGAACAGTCCAGTAGAGCTTGAATCGTTCGGCCATGTTTGGAGTCGTGGTGATTTGTCGATGGTGAGATGTTGCCAGCCTGATCTTGTTGCTGAAGAGGGGTCTTATACCGGTGCACGAGAGGGGAAGCACATGAGTGTGACGCAGCATGCAATTACCGCGCAGAAGCACCCCCAGAGCTGGACTCCGGATCGGCATATTATCTTTAAAGATAGCGACGAACAATGTGGATGCGTCCGACTTACGGCTTCATGTTATTCAGAAATACCCATCTGCTCAGATCGCCGACCCGTCTAGCTCACTGAGATAGCACAGTGCCGCCCTTTAGAAATGCGGGGCCTACCGCCTAATCGGGTCCCGACGAAAACCGGGGTCTGAGCCAGGGGACCCTCAAAAATTCTTACATCGGCTCTCTCACTCAACGTCAATCGGCGATTACTTCTCACGACCTGCTGTCGCTCAACATCACTTCATAATGCCACCAAACACTGACGGCGAGCGCGCCGCCAAGAAGAGAAAACTAAACGACAAAAATGTTATCAAAGTCGGAAACAAGGTGATTTCTCTGGATGGCTACTTGAATCCTCCCGCCAAAAAGAAACAGGATCAACCGCAAGAGACGCTCAAACCAACTGGTGAAGAGGCTGCAAAATCTGAATGGAAGGAAACAGAGAAGCCAGAGAGAAAAACTCAATATTCGAATAAACCGCCGTTCAAAAAGCCATTCGACAAGAGTAAGCCGAGGTCAGACCAACGAGGCCCGAGATGGAGGGACGATCCAGCCCTGCTTAAGGTCCGACAGAAGCTCCCGATCTGGGCTCATAGGGAGGAAATCCAAGAGCGGATGCGCAAAAAGGATGTCCTTCTCCTCGTTGGTGAGACGGGTTCCGGAAAAAGTACTCAAGTACCCCAATTCTTGGTGAAGGAGCCTTGGTGCAAACGGCAAAACGTCAACATCGATGGCGGAAGGGAGGTCAGTGTCGGCGGTATGATTGCCGTCACACAGCCTCGTCGAGTCGCCGCCACGACCCTCGCCCACCGCGTTTCTCGTGAAGCAGGTAGTCCTCTCGGCGAGGGCCGCGAGGGAATGGTCGGATACTCGGTTCGTTTCGATCACCAAGTGCCCAAAGGGACCAAGATCAAGTTCCTTACCGAAGGTATGCTCCTGCAGGAGCTTCTCAGGGACCCCAGTCTGCGGCAGTACAGCGCCGTCGTTGTCGACGAAATCCACGAGCGAAGCGTCGATGTCGATCTGGTGTCTGGCTTTCTGAAGCAGATTGTGATGAGCGACCGGAAAGGCCGGGGTGGCATCCCCCTCAAAGTTGTCGTCATGAGTGCCACTGCCGATGTTGAGCGCATTCAGGGCTTTTTCGCGACCGACAAGCCGGAAGAAGAAGGTGACAGCATGGAGATGGATGGGCAAAAACCGAGCTCGGTCGAGGTTTTCAAGATCCAGGGCCGTCAGTTCCCAGTCAAGACGATACACACGCCAAAGCCCGTGCCCGACATTCAAGAAGCCCTTTTGAAAACCATCTTCAAGATTCATACGGAAGAACCACTTCCTGGAGACATTCTAGCATTCCTCACTGGCCAGGAGGAAATTGAATCTACGCAGTCGCTCATCGAAGAATACGCAGCGACCCTTGATTCCAATGTCCCCAAGGTCAAAGTCCTACCGCTATTCGGCCAGCTCTCTATGGAAGGCCAACACGCAGCGTTCCAGCCTATCAAAGGCATGACTAGAAAGATTGTGCTGGCCACCAATATCGCCGAAACGTCCGTTACAGTACCCGGAGTGCGCTATGTGGTGGATGGCGGAAAGGCCAAGGTCAAGCAGTATCGCTCTCGCCTGGGCATGGAATCACTTCTGGCTAAACCCATCTCAAAGTCGTCCGCCATTCAAAGAACTGGTCGTGCCGGTCGTGAGGGCCCCGGAAAGTGCTTCAGGTTATATACTGAAGGGACATTCGGCACGCTAGAGGAAGCGGATTTGCCAGAAATTCTGCGAATCGATGTTCTCGGGGCTGTACTCACCATGAAGGCCAGAGGCATCGACGACATTCTCGGTTTTCCCTTGATGGATACCCCAGACATCGACGCCATTGAGCGTGCTCTCGTCAGCCTCCACCTGCTAGGCGCACTGGCTGACGACGGCACCATCACCGAAGCCGGCCGCAAGATGGCCGGTTTCCCCATATCCGCGCCCCTCGGCGCCGTCCTCTTGGCATCTGCCAAACCGGAGTTCGACTGCGTCCTCGAGGCCATTGACGTAATCTCATGCATCACGTCCGGCGACGACATCTTCCACCAGCTGCAATCGGAGGAGCAGCGCGAGGAGATCGAGGAGCTTCGCAAGGAGCTATACCGCCGCGAGGGTGACATCCTCACCTACCTCACCACCATGCAACAATACGCCGCCGAGAACGCCGACCGCATCGAGTGGTGCAAAAAAAGAAAGGTCAACATCCGCAACATGAAGACCGCCCTCAACATCCGCAAGCAGCTCCGCAGCTTGTGTCTGAAAGAGGGCCTGCTCTCCGAGGCTCCGCCGCCAGACCCGCAGCCGTTCAGCCCGCTGGCCCCCGAACAGGCCGAGTCGCTGCTCAAGTGCTTCCTCCGCGGCTTCGTGTCCAAGACGGCGGTGCTGGCGGCTGACGCGAGCTATGTGACGTCGCAGGGAAAGCACGTCGTGGCGATCCACCCTTCGAGCGTGTTGCATGGGCAGAAGAGGGAGGCGATCATGTTCCTGGAGCATGTATTTACGCAGAAGAATTACGCGAAGAAGGTGAGCGTGATTCAGGCTAACTGGATCGTGGAGGCGTTGGGAGGAACTGCATAGATCTACACAGACGCGACGATGTAATACCCAAGAATATAGAACAGGAGAAACTGTCGAATAAGCGTGACTTTGAGGCTCAAACAATGCATTGCTTCTATACATAGGTCTACATGAGATGTTTTGTACAACGGCGTGGTTTTCCTGGCCAGCATGTCGCTATGACTCCTCCTCACCTTCGCCCTGCTGCTTGCTGCGGTCCTTGATTGCTTGCATCAGCTCATACAGCTGACCGATTTGCTCATCTAGAAGGGTGAGTTGTCAGCTAATCCACAGCCCGCCTTTCCAGAACCATGATATGTTTTTACTTACCGCTCATCTTGGCGATCTTTACAGGGTCGATCTTGTCGCCCTTCCACTGGTCTCCCTCTACCTTTTGAGCGTACAGCTGCCATTCTGTGAGGAAGCCGATCTGGAGCAATGTGTCAGCTTGTCTGAAAAGTTTTCGTCCTGAGCACTTCGCGGAGTGTGCAGACGCGGTCTGGAAGCCATCTTTCTCCATCCCTGTGCATGGCAATTGCCCGGACGGGGACCGCCAATCACATGTAGCGTATTACAACACCAACCCACGAAGAGATCGTGTACACTGTGTCGAGGGAAGCTTATTCGGGTTCAGACGATAAAGAAGCACCCCAAAGATGCGTTTTTGAAGGCAAAGGAATAGACAAGGGCATCGGATTCAGGATAAAACGTACCAGATGTGCCGGGTTGTCCACGGTGCGGTGCGCGCGGAACTCAGCCTTGATGTACTCATCGCCCAACAGCCTCATCTCCGTAGGCAGGTACTTTCGGTGTGCGCGGAGGAGACGTCTGTATAGCGGGATGGGCGGAAGAAGGGCCATCGGTGTGTTCCCCAGGCCCTTAGGGATCGAGGCCGAGGCCATTCTCATAAGTGACGGCCGCATGGTATGTGTCCCGTCTTTGGTATGCCTTTGGCAGTAAGGGTTTGTGGTGAGCCCTTGTTGAATATGATGGCCCTTTATTCGAAGCCGGATTCAACGTGGTCTTTGAAACTTAATCGCTCGTTTTCAGTTCTCCAGGAATGGATCCCGGGTCTTTGGTTCCCTCCGTGATGATTCGAGGTTGTGGTCCGTCTTGAGAGTGATTGATGTTGTCATTGACGCATTTTCCGAGGTCTAGTGGGACCCATACAGTGCGCATTCGGGTGCCGCAAACAGTCCGCCTTCAACTCGATCTTGACAATTCGAACAATTTCAGAAGATAACTCATTATGAGTACAGTCTTTTGTCCAAGTTCTTCATTTTTATCACTCTTTTTTCTGCTTGTATAATATACTTTAACTCATGATCCGAAGCTATTTGCTGATAAATTCGGTCAACATTATCTATATTGATAACATTGCCTCGTAGTTGTCGAAGCTTCGCATACGAGGACACTAACGTCCTCCGTTATATTCCATCTTCTGGGTTTCATCTGGTTAATGATTGCATCTAAAAATTCCCACGCGTTCATCTCCATCTTACAAAACTCCTCAACATCCTCTCGACGAGCCTCTATAGACCTATAGCCATTGCCATTGAACGGTGAACGATAGCGACGGATGCTGACATTGGAATTCAGAGTCGCGCCGTACTGGATCAGATGAAGGCTTCCCCAAAAGCTTTGGGAGGTCTTCCTGTGCTGGTCTGGTATCAGGCGTAGTAGTTGAAGGAACAATCCACGTGTACCCGGGAGTTGTCTCATTTTTGAAACTGTGTCTTTCGTACGGTTGAATGCCCAAGAGGCGTCGTACTCGAAGGCGAAAGACTCGGCAGTGCTTCCGGGATTATTAGGTATGCATCCGAGTTGCCTCAGTGCTTGTTGGATATCATGGATATCATGGATCTTGAGGCTCGGAGGAACTTGCAGGCAAGTCATATCTCGTCGACGGAGAAACGGAATGGCTGTTTCACGTCCGTTGTATCGCACAAAGCGTGTGCCATTATAATGGCTTGCGTTGAGTCGAACATCGCGCGTTCCAGGGATCAGGTAGCCGTATTGAGGAAGAGTACTGTATGTGCGGCGGAAGTGCTTGGCTATGACGAGTCTTGACTCTTTGCAGGCGTACCATAGACCGTAATCGCACAAGGAAATGTCATTTTCTGACCATGGGCGTGGTAGATGAGAGATCGAAAAATCCGGCGGCGTGAGGAAGTATGATGTCTTAGTTCGACCGGCGTCGTTTACTGTTTCTGCGCCCACGGAGAAAAAGTGAGCCCCGCGAAATTTTTGTTGGATGGCAAAGGCCCATATCATCAGACGAAGTTCGGTACGTAGTTCCGAGAATGGTTTGAACATCATCGTCGAGTCGGAACCGAGGGCTGCATATGTGTGTGTGTGTGTGTGTGTGTGTGTGTGTGAGGGAGAGAGAGAGAGGAGGGGCTGGTTTGGATCGCAAAACATGTGAGTCGTGTCGGTGTTATATACGCTGTCAACGGAGAGACATACAGACAAACCCGCAGCTCGCATTCGATTGGACAAGAAGACTAGGTGGTTTGGATACAAAACTTTAATCAATGCCGTGGTTCTGTGCCTTCTACCTTTATGGCCCAGCCAAATCCATTCGTATGAGCGTTGAGAAAAGAACGCTGGTTGCTTAGAGCGCCTACCATGCACTACGATATTATTCTGAAATCCTAAGATACCACATAATTCTCCTGTGCCTGAGCGGCTACATTTCTTATTCACACGACGACTTTGATAAGGACGACGATAGAGAGCACGCAGGAAACGTAGTCGCTCTAGCACAGGAAAAATAAGGGGTATGTTCTACAATATCTAATATAGGTATCTGTCATTCATGTCTTGCAGGACATAGTTGCTATCCCCGACTCCAGTAAAGGCTTCTCCCTGCCACTGTACTTGTGCGAGCTCCTCAACGCCCAACAGCCGGCCGTCTCTCATCTTCCCCAGATCTGCCTCCGCCTTGACAGTAAGCGGATGCTGATTCCCGAGCACTTCCAGCCGACCGTTGTAGCATTCCTCCTGGAGATCCAACGCCTCGTCCACCTGCTTCTGCTGATACAAAACCCCCGCCAGGCACTCAATGGTCGCGAGCGTGTCGAGATGCGTCCGCCACAGCACCCTATCGCTCGCCTCCAAGACCTCACGCAGCATCTGCTCCGCCTCGTCGAGCCGCTCGAGCTTCACGCAGCCGATGGCCACGTTCCGCTTCGAGGTCAGCGTGATCGGGTGCTCCTTGCCCCTGAACCGCTCGTCGACCTCCAGCACGTGCCGCCACATGTCGTCCGCCTTCTCGTGCTCGCCCCTCTCGGACCGCAGCGTCGCGAGGTTGCTGATGGCGTTCATGGTCATGCGGTGGCCGGGGCCGACTGCGGGGCTTTTGAGGCACAGTTCCAGTATGCGCGCCTCCAGCTTCTCGGCCTGGTCGTTGATCCCCGCCAACTGCATCGTCACCGCCAGCGCGGCAAGGGCGCGGCGGAACTGCGGATGCTTTGAGCCCTTCTTCTCTGCCTCCTCTATGATGTAGACGAGCATGTTCTGGGCTTTGCCGAGCTCCATCTTCTGGATGAACACCTCAGCGAAGTCAATGCCGATGCTATGGACGTGTTTCGCTGCCCAATCTCTTGAAGAGCAGTCATTCACCAAGTCGATGCATTCATGGAAAAGCAAAACTGCCTCGTCGAACCTGCAGCAGGCCTTGTTCAGCTTGGCGAGGGCCCACATACCGTCCACAACCAGCCAGTGTTCCGGCTCAAGGTTATCACGCCGCTCCTGGACGGCCTTTTCGAGAACGTGAAGCGCCTCGCGCCACATGCCGACGTGCTGCAGGAGCTTTGCATACTTCGTCTCTTGCCTAGTCTCTTTAAACCAATCGCCTCCTTCGGGGGCTCCATGCTTCATCATCGCCTTGAGGTGCAGTAGTAACCGCGCGGTAAATCTCTCATCTTCAAACCGGAACTTCTGGTCGAAGGAGTCAAAGATGATGGAGCGCGCCGCATAGTGATGGAACTTGTACGCATCCTCGTGCATGCGGTCGCGAGCCCAGGAATGTACCAAGATGTGCATTGAATGCCACTCGTCGTTGATCACCGCCTTCTTAATCAAAGAGTAGCTCCTCAAGAGACTGATGCCATCAGTATAGTTGGTGGAATCCCAGGACTTATCGCCCTTAAAGTTGAACAATGCTAGGGGCGCGACGCTTTCCATATCGCCCAGTACATCTGTGTCGAACTTCTCATTCGTTGCTGCTCGGCTGATTATCTCATCGGTGAGGTTTTCGTTGTGGTAGAAGCAGAAGATGCAGAGGATCCGGAGTGCGTTGAGAGCAGCCCGCCCCTCCCGGGTGTTGTCTTTTGACTTCGCCTCCAACGCCTTATAAGACAACTCAAAAGTGCCGTACACGGCTGGGTTGTCGTTGAAAGCGCCACGGCCCATTGACGGATCTTCCATGAGCTGCTTCCGCCCACTTTGGAACCCGAACAGGTAGTCTCCGAACGTACAGTCTTGCATGTGGATGTAAGAGCCCGCCTGGTCGATGGCGAGCGGGAGATAGCCGAGCTCCTTTACAATTTGACCAACAAGCTGCTCGTTGTCGCCATGTAACAATTGGTCTTCCAGCTTGGACGACCGCAACAGCAATTTAACGGCGTCCTTTTCGTCCATAATGTCAACAGCATATGTCTGATTATGATCCAACGTAGGCTTGATGTCCTTCCGTCTACTTGTGAAGAGAATGTTACCTGTGTTACCCGCCGGGATGTATTTGCTAACGTTGACGGAGTCAGAGTCGTTGTTGTCAAAGACCAGAAGCCACTCCTCTGGGCGGTTTTGGGACAGCCAGTTGAGGACGCCGGTAATGTTGGGTCTGCTGGGGTTCCCGCCGTAGATCTGCGCTGTCACCTTTCGGAAACTTTCGTAGATGGAGTCCGTGGTGGCCGCGTTGATCCAGAAGACATGGTCGAACCTGAGTCAGCATAGGTTAGCAGCTTGATACAGAGATTACACCTAGGCATACGCACCGAGAGCCATGCAGGTCTCTGAACTTCAAGGCAATTTGCGTCTTTCCGACGCCGCCCATGCCCCAAATTCTGAGAAGCCTCCTAGACGACGATCCAGGCTCCCGTTCACAAAAGTGTCTGTCGAGTTTGCCGAGAATCGCAGCTCTTCCAGTGAACTGGGGGCTGGATATGTTCCTTTGCCGGACGTCCTGGACCATGGCGTGCCGGAATGCTTCATATGAAGTAGCACGGCCTCGAGTCTGTTAGCGAATGACGCAATTCACTCATGTCACTGGGATATCAAACTCACAAGTAGCCTCTAGGGGCATCTCAACGCCCTCCTTATTGTGTAACATGCTGACGATCTTGTCAATGGAAGCCGATACCTCGTCCTTCTTCAGATACTTCTCCGTAGCCTCCCTTAGGAGCTTCATCTTTTTATACTCGTTCAGCTTGATGTCTGCAGCGCCCTTGTCCAGATTGAGTCGAAAGTAAGCGTTAGGAATCGCGCGGAACCACTGGTCGAGTTCATGGTGGGTGCGTTCGGGATCCGTCAACGACGTCTTGATGTGTTTATACACAGGCAAACTGTCGCGGGACAGCAGAGACCCGCTGAGAGACCGAACAGGCTTCTTTGTCAACTCAAGGGCGTGCTCTACCGCCTTTTCGGCATCGGCTTCGACCTTGAACGCCTTATCCGTGATTTTGAGCCCCGTGCCCAAGCTCAGGAGAAAACCCAGCTTCCGGTCGGAGCCCAAGTACGAGTCGGCCTCGTCGAGGACGAGCTTGGCGGGATTGTTGTAAGCTAGCGCGCCGTCGTAGTAGTACTCCTTCACGGCCTCGACCTTGACGTGTACGGGGTTGAAGAAACCAGGAGCCGAGGACGTCGCCCGCGCAGCCTCCCAGATTTCGACATTGTGCGC